TAAATATATTGTGATTATTACCCATTGCCTTTGTTTGGATTTCCGAAATTTTAAAAATCATTTACATACTAAAATTGGAGCAATTACTAACACAATAGTCCCTTCGCTTCAACAATTCCATACATTGTTATTGAAATGGTAATTATAGCTTTTATTGGAAGTACTCTGGGTACTTTCCTATTAAAGGGAACATTCATTATTATCGATGATTTTTTCTCGATATATCGATATTAACAAATTGAAACATATCAGCTGACAATTACGAAAAATATTGTTCCGTATCAACAAACATTAATGAAATGAAACTGTTCTAAAATAATTAACCTAACATAACTAACCAAACTTGATGTAACATTTAAAAATTCCGCATTTATAACTTGCCTTTTATATTCAAACCCAAACGGAATTTTTAAATGGTACAGCAAGTATGGTTGGTTATGTTAGGTTAGCTTAGAGCAGTTTCATTTCTTGTTGTCAATTTGTAATGGATCGGAAAACAAAAACATCAATATATCGAGAAAAAAATCATCGATAATAATGAATGTTCCCTTTAACAGGAAAGTACCGTACTCTGATTTCACCAAACTTAAAGAAGCCAGAAATTAATTTACAGTTCCTAAACACTAATTGGAATAAAATTAAATATAAATGAAGTATTTCAATATTATACAAACATTACTGATGACTTTTTCAACTTAAAAATAAAAACAATGATAATGTGTGTTGGTAATGTGATTTTGTTATACAAAGACAAAACTGTGTTGATTAAATGTTAGATGTTTTATCCAACATATTTTAAATGTGTTAAAAGTAAAAAATTATATCAATATAATAATCTAAATTAGGTATATTTATTTATCCTTACCATTACTAACTAATCCTATCCTATCCTAATTAATCTAATCCATAATCTTAATCTTTATCGTCTGCAACAGGGGGTGCACAGAAGGAGCCTCCCCGAAGATTGTGACCATTACACGCTATGAACAACATCACAATCGGGCGCACCCCGAGCAACGCTGACATGTCAGCGGCAAATCCTTCTACAACCGGACGACTTCAAAAAAAGAATCTGCCTAAACGGTCTTTTTCAAGGCCATTAGTAACGATCTCGATTAATATCGAGGGAATATCGAGAGACAAAGAAGTATTACTGTCTGATATGTGCAAGACGTATTAATGCGACTTCCTCCTTGTGCAAGAAACACACCGGGGCATTTTAAAACCTACACCCAACATAGAGGGAATGAGACTGATTCTAGAGAGACCTCATGACCAATATGGTAGTGCTTTTTTTGCCAAGCCATACATTGACATCACCTCAGCTTCGCTTACTGAGAGGAACAATACTGAGATACTAACGGTCAGGACACCACAGTACAGTGTCACCTCTTTGTATAAGCCTCCACCTATACCACTACCTCCACTAAGCTAAAGTTTTCCATTTAATCTCGAATCGTCAATTATTTAATTTAACTGTCAATGTGTTTGTTTCATGTTATACGTTAAAAATACACATATTTGAAAAGTTCCACAGTAAAATAATTTATTCCAACATTCTATAACGTACATAACTAAAAAGTCTTAATTATAATAGTTAATGATGTTTTATATACAGTAGTACATTGCAGAATTGACTGGCAATTAAGTCATCCAAATGTTAATATTGCGTACCGGCTTAGTGATAAATCGTGATCAGCTGTATTGAAGTAAACAAAAATCTACAGTAAATGGCTTCTAATGCTATTCTTATGGAGAACATTTTACGTTATATCTAATTTTGTATTAATATTTTGGGAATTTCACTATTTTTCCCGCCGTTACGGGATAGAGACCTTTAATTTGAGCCCTCTCCCGTCATTCTACAACTTCCCAGTCGTCCACAATTTTGACGCAAAGAATCGGCTTACGTAATTAATATATAGATAATACTCAATATGCCTATAAAAATAAATATTTATGAACTGATTTGCTGCGCACAAAAATCCAACAAATTCTTTTAATAAAATAGATAGTCGTAAGGTTAACATGAGGAACTACAGAGCCACTGGGGCGGAGCCCGAAAGGATCTTTGAGATGAGAATATGTCTATATGTTAATCGGGAATATGAGCTATCATTATACCAAATTTCAGCCCAATCCGACCAGTAGTTAATGTGTAATTGAACTTCAAACAAACAAACAAGCACATAAACGTTCACTTTATAATATTAGTATGATCTCTTATGGTTTTTTCAAGTTTTTTTAAATGTAATTTTGGTATAAGGACAAAACTGTGTTGATTTAATTTTAGATGTTTAATATAAAATATAAACAATCTTAAATGTGTTAAAAAGTAAAAACCATCCCAATTTAATGATATAATTTTAATTTATTAATCCTTACCATTACCAACCATCCTATTCCATAGTATAAATCTTTATCATCTGCATCAGCACAAACAAAAATACTGTCTGAGGTGGTTAATCACGTAAAGTTCCAGTCCTTTTACTGTAGTATCCCCTTTAATTGTCTTGATAAATTTAAGTTACACATTTATTAGAAGACACAGTATCTTATCTAAATTAAACAGCTATTTCAACTTCGACAGAGTGCTGTATTATGTAGGCTTAAAACCAGTTAATCAGTGTTGGTAGATAGAAATGATCAATTAGTGTTCAACTTCAACTCGAAGTTAAAGGGATGTCAATGGTTTTTTTCCTTCTACACCATTGAAAAATACAAATAGTTAATTGCTTTTCCATACCAACAATACATATTTTATTTTGTTTATCAATTGGAATCTTTGCAAAGGAAGGTTAGTTACAATCTGTATAAATAATGCATAATTGTTATAGTATTTGATTGTTTAATAAATAGTGTATTTGTATTAATTTTTTCATTCTTTTTTACTGACATTATCAGAGATTAGCTGTTTTGTAAAATTAATCTATCCATTCATCCCTATAAACATGGACATTTATGTGTCAATGTGACAATGATGAGTCAGATGACACAATTTAAATAAGATAAACCTATTTTATTTGCATCATTATTACGCTTTACTTTCCAATATTTTTTAATGATAACACTTTAATTGTAAATTTATTTAAAATTCATTGTAATAGCTTTTTGGAAATGCAATATTAAATAATTTCGCATTACCTGTCAGCAGTCCTAATTTGTAACCATCAGGGTGTTTCATGTTTCGACAGGAGGTCATTATCAAATGACTCAGAGCAGGAAATGCATTATATCCACGCGAGTAACTCCATTGTTTGTTTGGATTCACATACACATACATTCACAAAATACATTGATGAGATAGAAAAGTATGTTTTGAAAAGCAACAGCTGGTCCACTAGACAGAATAGTGTCGCGGAAAGTGTATCTAACCAACCAACAAAACCACTCAAGCGGATATAATGGTTTTCCTGGCCCAAGGTGTTTCATAATGACATCAAAACGTAACACCCAGCTTACTATTGGAATTACTGACCAGTGACCATTCTAGCTAACCAATTTGAAATGTCAGGAACCAACAATTCCTGCAAAATTCTAAAGGACCAAATAACATGGATAGAACAACATTGTATTATTGTTGTAAACAAAGATTATGTTTGTTTCAGTTATTAGCTAGGTGAATATACTATAAATCCACAGTTAATTTGTTGGTTGTAGATCTGCACCATAAAGAGAGATCTAGATAACTAACTAGATCATTTACAGTTTCTAAACTTCTTTCAGAGAGGTAAATTATAATTATGAAAGACACTTTATTTTCAGGTCATCCAAGTTTCAATTTACTAAAGGATGAAACAATTATTTCCTTTTACACCTCAATATTTGGCAATATTTCACCAATATCTTGCGACAATTGTTGGTAAGTAGACTAAAATTAAGAGCAATAATGTCTAGCATGTTTTACCGTAGTAATTTTAAATGTTAAAATGAGCTGTTTTTGTAATAGGTTTTGAAATGAGGTCTTTCAACTTTTGTGGATAGAAGGCCGATATTTTTTACAGGAATAGAATTTATCAAGGAAATAGCTGAGTTCAAAGTTTACATCACATTAAATTAGAATCATTTTAGACCAAAACACAAGGGTGCATACCCACGGCCACCTTTAACTCCAGACCGCTTGACAAAAAATCCTCCAGCCTGGAAGAATTGGCAACGATGCAAGTAGTGTTGTTTAGCGCCAGACGTCCCATAAGATAACATGGCAGACAGGTGACACTAGCTCATTAATTTACGTATTATTAATTTAAATTTAAATTTATGAACATAAATTTATTAAAAGATTGAAAATAAAACATATTGAATTGAAACAATAAAATATAAATCAAAAATATATTTCTGTACATTTAAAATGGAGTCAATATTTTCATAGCCCAGTAACCAAGCTTTCGTATTCTTAAAAAATACACAAATACCATTAGCTACATCAAAACAAAACAGCTGTTACAACACTACTTGCGACGTTGCCACTTCGATGGCCGCGGCCTGGAGTTAAAGGCGGCCATGTTATACCTCAAGGTGAAGATGTGTGAAGTATGAGTAAAAAACTTTGTTACTGATATAGATCAGCTGGGAAAGTTTTTACTTAATCTGGACTTTGACAAATTACAAGTTGCCTACAGACCTTACTCGTACTATAAACAATTTTTTTCCTGATATCTACACCGGTGACATTTTTACCAGATGAGTCACAAGAGGAAATACTTAACGTATTTAGGGAAATGAGCTATGTTCAATGATAAACCTGGATTCCAAAAGTACATATGTTCTTCTTTTGTATTTTCATCCCTTTACTAAGCAAGAATACACACTGATTAGAATATAAAGTTATTCAGACAATCAAGTTTAAACACATTCCTTGTATCCAAGGTAGGACATAAACCTAATTTCCTACTCGAGTCTACTTAACCTTTTTTTAATCAAACACAATCTTTTCAGGGAGTTTTAGTTTTGCATTGGTCGGAAACGCTGCAGGATGGCCATCACCAACTCTTATCAAGATGAAAAACATGGATGCTCCAGTGATCCTGGACTCTGGCCAAATATCGTGGATGGTCTCCATGATCTATCTTGGACACTTAATCAGCCCCATACCAAGTGGAATGATGATGGATAAGTACGGAAGGAAGCAAGCGATTCTCCTTTTAGCTTTACTACCTCTCATCTCATGGCTGATGATTTTTTGCACAGCTTCAGCAACGTCTTTGTACATCGCCAGATTCATCGCAGGGCTTTGGGCTGGCGCTACTTCCACCATAATACCCATCTATATTGGGGAAATTGCTGAACCAAAGTTGCGAGGGTCGCTAACGATGTTTACACATCTCATGAGAAACTTTGGAGTTCTTTTGGTTTACTTTGTCGGCCCTTACGTTTCTTATTCAGAACTCGCAATGAGTTGTGCAATTTTGACATTTTTATTCATTGTGTCTTTTGCTTTCTTACCAGAATCGCCGCACTATCTCTTAATGCATGGGAAAGAGGAACAAGCTTATAAATCACTCAATTGGCTAAGAGGTAGTAGAGGAAATGCTTCCGTCAATGACGAGTTACACAAAATGAAAGAAGCGATGAATAAACAGCTGATGAACAAAGGGTCTTTCAAGGACGTTTGGAACAACAAAGGAAACAGAAAGGCATTTATTATATCTGAAGTTTATTCTGTTACTAAAAGATTAACAGGTTCAGGAGTTTTGCAAGCTTACGTTTCAATGACGTTGCCGGCTTTAACATTTGGAATCTTCAACCCAGACGACTGTGCGATCATTCTCGGTTTGATTAGTTTAATTTCTTCCGTCACATCTGTTTTTCTCGCTGTTCATTTCAACCGACGATGTCTAATAACTGTTTCTTCAGCTGGATGTGCATTAACGATGGCGTTAGTTTCAACATGGTTCTATCTCCGTGACACCGATTACGATGTACAACGCTACAGTGACTGGTTGTTTATTTCTTATATACTTTACAACTCTACTTTTTCATTAGGGCTCGGTCCAATAGGGACGAGTATGAAGGGGGAATTGTTTGCTGCTAATGTAAAGGCGATATGTTCTTCCCTCACGACCATATTTGTCGCTATCACCTCGTTTATACTAAACAAATTCTTTTTAGTGATCGCAGAATCTTTTGGCATGCATGTTAACTTCATGATTTACTCATTAAGCTGTATTTTTACAATAATCTTTACATGGGCTTATGTGCCAGAAACACAGGGTAAATCTTTGGAAGAAATACAAAATCTGTTACAGGGTACTAGTAGAAAATTAAGTAAAAAGACTCATAAAAAACAAATTTGAAACATGAGACATTTTCTACAGTAGGCAAGTTTTTTTTAATGTATGGATTTCAAAAGTACCTTACACACTAGAGAGAGGTCTAGACTTCTTTTTAAAAGATTAGGGATTTTAACCATCACAAGTACGTACATTTTTTAAATAATTAAGCTATTAATTAGCAATATAGTCAGTTTTGAAGAGTTTAAATGTGCACATAGTTATTCCAGAAACATTTCAATTCCCAATACATAGAAAGAATAAAAAGAGTGAGTCTTTTTGAACGTACGCAAAAATACATGGCTATAAAACTTTTAATAAACTACCAAAAAGAATCACCAACAATCCAAAAAACATACTCCTAGAAAAATTTACACGAGTTATTGAAAAGGCATATTATAAAATAGAAGATTTCTATTCTGATGTTTTCTAAACAGACAAGAATTAATTTAATTTTACAAACTAAATTTCACGTTGAATACATACCTGATGGCTTTCATTAATTTTAGCAGGATTTTTATATTATTTGTTGTTTTTATAATGGTAACTTTTACTTGATGTCAGTAGTAATAATTTTGAGTTGTGTGAACTTATTAGTTAGGTATGTTTTTTTATTATTATTATTATTATGACGACACTCCTATTCTTGTACGTTGTACTTTTTAAGATGTTTATTAGTGAATAAAGAATTTGAATTACACTAGCGGCCACGATAGTCTGCAGTTGGCGGCCCCAATACCAAGACGGCAACATCACCCATTCACTACTTTTCGACACTAATTAAAATATACTAAACAATATTTTCAAATCAGCCTGTATTATTAGATTTGGCAACAACGCACGTTCCTTCTAAGTTACATGGTAAATAGACTCCTCCCTCAACTGCAAACTCCCGTGGACCGTACTCTAGTCTTAGCTCAGCACCAATTTTAAACAATAATAAGGAGTAATTATTTTACATTCATTTATTTACGGTGAAACTTTAAAATATGTGAAAGAGAAGGTTTCATTTTACTTTATCTCTTCCTGGATAAGAAATTTGGGTTACCTTCAGAAGGTCACCCTTGAGCCTGGGCTTCCTTTTGTGGAACTTTCCACGGATAATTAACCTAATCAAAGTGTAAAATCAACCTTGAGATTATTCAATAGATACTACATTGTAGTAAAAAAATAAAACATTGCATTTTAATTAATCCTTTTAGAATAAAGTTACTGAATATCAGTGTTTTGGGTTGTTCATTGTTTGGATTATTTAACTTATTATCCAAATGTCTTTGTAAGAACAACTATATACATGTTGTATAGCCAATAATTATGAAGCACAAATTGACAATAGTAGTCTGTATACTGATTGAGATCTACAATCACCAAACAAGTAATCTTTAGTTAATTCAAACTTGAGTTTCTTGGTCAATTGTTTTGTGAATAAACAGTATTAGCTCGAGGATTTGTGTGAAAGCATAAGGGAAAGATGGATCTAGCCTTATCTATAAATACACTACTGGAAAAACATGCAATTCTTATGTTTAAATTGTAGTCAGTTTGAGAAGGACTTAAATCAATTGAGTCATCAATGAAGTGTTCTATATAAATACTTTTTTTAGACACAAACTTGTAATGCCAAACTAAAGGGGCAACTTATTGTAAAATGTTGCATCTGTTATGGATCATAAATTATATTTCACTAAGAAAGCTCAAAGAAATAATAGAACCTAAACATATTCAACTATTCATTCCTATATGTAAAATAAAGGTTGCAGTTTTGGCCAATTTTATGTCTACTGCAGTATCTAACGTTAGCACTCCTTAGTTAAAACAATGATAAAATGAATATGCAGACCACAAAAATATACCATATGACTATCTAAGCATGTAGTAGAAATATTTATAAACTTTTATATTTGTGTAAAAACTTGGATAAACCACAGAGGAGTGTGATTTAACAAGATTGAAAATTCTATTAAATGTAAACAATACAGCGTTTAACTAATGTCCATAATTTAAGCTTAAACTAAAAACAGCTAGTAAAAGAATGCTATTTTGCTTTAATAGTGACAGTTTATGTTATGAAAACACTGTATATAAAACTCTCTAGAACTACATACCTTATACTTTTTTTTAAACAAAAATTGTCTGGCTTGATATTTTTTTACTACGTATGGTAGGCCTACTACTGCTGTCTTTTGGATACTGAAATAGACATCCTATCTATATGGAGCAGCTCAATAGCTACTTATTTTTACTTTCAACTTCTTATTTTTACAAACTTAGTTCAAGGATCCACTCACAAAATGCACAACAGAGTTCTATCATTATTAGAAGCTACTACTGTACTCATAAGCTCCAAAAGTGTACATGATTTAAAACAAAGAGCATGGAAATAAACTTTAAACATGTTTCAACTAAACATTTTACACTACAAAACAATATTTAGACTTGAAAAGCTTTTGTCGTTATGTTTCATTTCCAATGTTTTTTTTTTATTTAAGATGTTTATGTTTCTATGTATTTATTATTTGTATAAATTAGTAGGAATAAATAAACAAATATTTTCACGCTTTTACAATCAATAATTTGTGAGCAATGTTCTATGTATCTTTGTAAATTAATACAGATTGTTTGAAAATCAACCATGCTTTGTTATTAATTGATCACTGATATATTCATTTGATTGTAAAATCAATTAAAAACCACATAATACATTTTATGACCACACAAATTTATACCACTTAACTACTTTAACAAAATATCATTCCATTGACGAAAAATTAATTGAATTTACACTGCAACCAATCTTTTCTGGTTGCTCATAATGTCTTATCAAATGCTACTAGGTTATTGGCCTTCTCTCGGCTTATCAAACACCTGTTATCAATTTCCAATTAAGTCTTAAAATTTAATTTAATAAACAAACAATAGCTCCTTACCTGAATACGAATATCGAAACTGAACTTCATGTTATTATGTTAACTTGAAATGGAAGCACTGCTTAAACATTCACTAGCAAGTAAGCCATTGCAAGTTGAGTACAACTAATGCAAATGCAAACGAAGCAGTATCTCAACTGAACGGAAATGAACACACCCTTTGCCAAAGACAGCTGGTGCACTCTAGTAGAGAACTAACTATATGAGAAAGTTTAACAAAACCTTGAATAGTCTTCAAATGTGCAATAGGATTAAGGCTTAAGAGTGGCTTAAGATTTATTATTAGGAAAATTGTAAGAGGAAGTTTAAAATAACCTTGAATGGGTTTTAAAATAAAAATATATAAAAAAGGTATATATAAAAGGTTGAAATTTTACTGAGAGACCTTTAGACTTACACTCTTTTATGTAAGCTATGCAGCATTTACTTTGTTAAGTGTAAAATAAAAAAATAAATAATATAATCTTATCTGTAACTTCAAAGTTTTAACATCAGTTTTAGTCTATTAAAAATACAAACAAGACAACAACTAAAAGTAGCCTATATTTTATAAAATTTAATTTTTTGAAATATTTGATTTTAAAAAATGTTTTCAATTTAGGTTTGCATAATTTACTTACAATCATTTTGACTTACTTCTTACTAATATTATAAATGTGAAAGTTTGTGTGTTTGTTTGTTTGAAGTTCAATCACGCATTAACTACTGGACGGTTTGGGCTGAAATTTGGCATGATGATAACTCACATTCCCGATTAACATAGGCATATTATTATCTCAAAAACCCTTTCGGGCTCCACCCCAGTGGTTCTGTAGTTCCCCATATTAACCTTATGAGTATTTATATTTAAAAGGAATTAAAGAATTTAGTCAGCTGTTACAACTTACAAAGTTGGTTCTATGATATGCAAAAGCATTATAAAGATTAACCAACAGGGTGCAGCACTATTATTTTTTTCATTAATGAAAACAACTATTGAACTAAGCAGCAACCAACAATATAATTACAAAACCATCAGCCTCAAAATGAATCAATAAAACCCATCCTTACAAGTTGTCAGCCAAAATTTAAGAAAATTATTTAATGAACTGTTACATGTAAATGAATAACTTATTAAACTAAACAGGGCATTATTTCTCCTGACTTAAACCATCATTATTTAAAAAAATTAAATTAATCATAATGGACTGTTCATCAACATCGTTCAAAATCGTCGAAAAACCCGATGTTATTTATTTATTTATTTTCCAATAATCACATAACATCATATTCAGACAGGTGATTCATCATTGTTACAATATTTTATAGTCTCTATTATACTAAAATTATTACTAAAATAAATTTCATTGCTGAGCTTTAACATCTACATAGCTTCCATATATTCCTCCAATGAGAAGAAGGCCTTCTCCAAAAGAAAGTTTTTTAACTTCTTTTTGAATTTAGGGAATGAATCAGTGTCCCTAATTGAAGAAGGTAATTTGTTATATATTTTTGGGCCCATGTACTGAGGAGATAAATGGAATACTTTAAGTCTGTGTTGAACTGGTTTTATATTGTTTTTAAATCTAGTGTTGTGAGGATGGGCATGTTGATCTTCCATGAATGTGTCAAAATCACTTTTAACCATTAAAGCTAGTTTAAAGATATAAGAACTATACAAAGTAAGAATTTTAAACTGAATGAAAAACTCTTTACTGTGAGTAATTCGAGACACTTTCGCTAAGACTCTAACTGCTCTTTTTTGGAGGATAAAAATTTGTTCGGCATGACTAGAAGAACCCCATACCGTTAAACCGTAATTCATAATGGAAGAAAAATAAGCGTGGTATACTGCTAATTGTGTGTCTAAATTTGTAGTATGTCGAATTACCCGAAGAACAAGTATAGCTGATCTGAGTCTCTTTGATAGATTCTTAATGTTTGTTTGCCAATTAAGTTGCCAATCTATATCAATTCCAAGGTAATTAACTGAGTTTTGAGAATATATTGATGTTTGGTTTGAATTTACAACAATGTCTCTATTCTCATTAGCAACTGAAAAGTGAATTAGTTGTGTCTTTGACACATTCATAGATAGACCATTTACTGTGAACCAGTCCCCGAGGAGTTGAAACTCATTAGTAATTAAGTCTTGCTTAAAATCCAATGTTTTTTGTTCGGTGCAGATTAAAGCAGTATCATCTGCATATTGAAAAGTATGCATTTTTGTAACATTACATAAATCATTTACATAAATTAAAAATAAACAAGGTCCAAGAATGGAACCTTGAGGAACTCCGTAGGAACCCCACTCTGACTTATATTTGGTTTGGCATTTCTGTAATATATATTATAACGCAAATTCCAGTTTCATTCCAGGTGGCGAAGTATATTTAAAACACTAAATAATACTTCTAACATACAGCATATTGTTTGTACATTTGTATAAGAAATTCTAGCTGCATTCCAGATGGCAAAGATAGTAAATACATTTTCGCAGCTGAATAAAACTTCAAACATGCAGCACATTATGTTTGTAGACATTTTAAAATCAGGGCTGAGATAACGGTGTTTGCAGTTTTTATGGACTCGTCTTCACTTCCAGTCCCACGAGAGGCCCGAAGCTGTCATACATTCTAAAGGTAACCTTATCTTCCAGCTTTGCAATTAATATTGTTTGAAGTTATTTTGGTAGTGATATAGGGTCTGCATGTTATTTTCAATACACTGTCTGTCTGTATAGCTCATATCAGAGAAATAGGGATGGACCTTTTATCACAATATTTAATAATTTGTATAGACAGATTTTTTCACTTTTAATATTCTAACTTGGAAAAATGGCTCTTTATTTTTTATTAATTAGGTAAAATACCCTTGCGCGGCAAATTTCATTTTGTTTGATAAGATATTGACTTCTTAGGGTTACTGCTACAGGGAAGACAATACAGTGTGTTTCATTAAAATATTAATAGCTTAGTATTAAATAAACAAATTTGATCAAAATACATCTATTAACTACAACAGTTTAAATTTATTCTCCACAAAAATAACATAAGAATTTTAAATATACAGTTTTTTTTTTAATCTCTGTAACCATTAGGTGTACAACAACCATTCAATATACTACTGTATAGATTATTTGTTTTTTAAGCACTACAAAAAATTTAGAGATATATTGCAAAACTTTGTTTTGGGGGAAAATGGGAAAACCCAAATCTTCCTATTTTATAGCCCTCTTATAACTATACTTCCCTTTCTCACACACTTATTCCTCCAACATCCCAATATGCTAAGATTTTTAAATTTAGTATACCGATTCTTTGGGTCTCAAATAGGCCTACAGTACTTAAGGTATTTCGATTCTGGTTTGGCCACAGGGCTCTATCCTACACGCCTCCTAAGTTGTCCTATGGAAGTAAAATTATGATTGGTGTCCATGAACACAATAAGAAAATCAAATGCCAACATATTTTTTTTTAATAACTAGAAGTGCTAGTGCCCTCCAAAAGTGGCACTTCTGCTCGCACCAAACGATAGACTCATCTCTCGAACAATTGCTGTGCTAAGAAATTAGCAATCGTGGTTAACAGAAGAGTTTTTTTTACTGTTTCTTTAGAGTAAAACAATGAAAAGGCAACAGGCTCATAAAAGACACAACATAAATTCAAAGACATTTCAAGTGTTTTGAAGGCCTTATCTGAAAATTGTTTAGAAATCTATCCAATGTTGTTGCCCAATGGGATTTAAACTATTTTTGCTCAAGAACCAGCAGATCTCCTTACGTAACAAGACAAGCACCCTCCACTTATTCGTATTTCTAAACCTTAAGCCATAGCTTATATAACAAGGCCTCGCCGTTGGTGTGAGGCAACAATGCACTGGCATGCTTTGTTCATGATAATAACAGAAATAACAAAAGTGTAAAAATGAACATTACCTACACGCTTAATTATAAATTAGTGCAACAGCTGTTTCGGTTTGCCGTTTGTTAATCTCTGGGTCTCAGAAATCTTATTGAGCGAAGCTCGCTTTCCCTCACTTTGTAACTTCTTTGTAAGAGCATCAGAATGTAATGGCTTGACCAATTGATATGAAATTTGGCCAACAGCTTAAGAATACTGAGCACAATGTTTATGGTAAAAAATATTTGCAAATTTCCTTCTGGATTTTATTTTACGGGTCACGCAATTTCGCTTGTTATTTTAATGTAAGTTGAAAGAAAAATTATATTGGGTTTATGACATATGGGTTTATCTCGTTTTATTTAAATAAGATAAACATATATGTTAATTGTTTGTAACTGTTTTGTTTACATTTCAATGTTTTCTTTCATCCTAGGTTAAAGTTGGAATGTAACAGTATATCAATGGAAGTAACAGTTTTGCTATATTTGTTTTGAGCATGCCTCAAAGGCCACGTCGTAATATTGGTCGTCGCACCAATAATGCAAATATTGTAAGAGAATGGCGTCATGAACAAGAAGAACCAGGTGAAGCAGTGGCGGAAGAAGCTGATAATGATAGACAGTTAGCTAATCAATTCCAACATGAATTAAATGCGCTAAAATTTTACACTTGCACTAACTGTCATCGCCAACAACTAACAGCTTCAAACCAATCACCGATTTGTTCGCGTTGTCGTTCAAATGCAACTAAATTCACAGCGTTAAATAATATGGATGTGTCAAGTGTCCCGAACGAATTAACTGACCTGACGATTGTAGAACAAATGTTGATTGCATGAGTACATTCCGTGAAAGGGAACATATTGTAGGTTGTTAGCTGCTTTAGCCATTGACAATCTTTAAATAATGCTTCGCTCATTTATGCGTCTAAAGTGTAACGGCAGACCACCCTAGTATAATCTGTAGGCCTACTTACCCTTGGCTGGTGCATCCTAGGGTTGTTTATTTGCTAACTGAGTGTTAAAGCAATATTTAGCAATATTGACAGGTTGAAGGCAGTATAATTAATTACTCATTGCCTGTCAAAATGAATTATATTATGTTAATTATGTAAAAAAAAACGACGGTGTTTAACCTTTTTACCTTTTCACTTGTGTCTCCCTCAGTGACCTCCGGAGTTGACCTCCGACCTCGCAGGAGGGATGCCCCTCAACATCTGGCCACGCCAGCCCCAGACTCTGGCTGTCGTCCGGCAATTTATTGTTGCTGGTTCAGGTATGACAAACACTAAAACAAATAAAGATTTTCTTAATACTCATTGGTACATAAGATATTTCATAATAAGAGTTTGAAACATAAAACGTAAAGTAACTCAACTTTTACTATGAATAGAACTAGACATTCCATTGCGATCTTAAATTTGTTACCAGTTATGGACTAAAAGTTAACAAATTGATAATTAAAATGACCTACAGAAAGAATGTGTTGCCATTATTCACTGATTTCTATCCTATACACAGTTGTTTAACCAAGCCATAAAGCTCCAGAACGAGTTACATGCTTGGCAGGTGTGGATTTTTTATCACACCTTCTTGGCTACAGCAATGAATTTCTGGGAACATCAAAATGAATAAGTAAATCAATCCATTGTCTATATCTTTCTGTGCCACCTATGGTATTAGCTTCTTTCAAATAGAGAAATTTGCTGAAAGCTACGGAGGTGGGGGAAGCGTTCTTGGGCTCATGTGCATCCAGCTCGTCACTCTAATTGACCTGATCTATACATATAGATGGGTTGTTTACTCTAGTATATAAAAGTCAATGATGGTACTTAACAATAAAATCTACACTTTTGTTCCAGCCTCTCTATCGTTTGCGGCCGCTGGTATGGCCTCAGCCTGGCCGTCGCCCACTCTCCCCAAGATAGTCTCCCACGACGCCCCTGTCTCGCTAAACCTTATTGAGATGTCAAGGATGGTGTCGCTTTACTATGTGGGCAACCTAGTCAGCTGCCTTCCCATGAGTTACCTGGCAGACAACTTCGGCCGCAAGAAAATCCTCCTGTACTCCAGCCTGTTCACCATACTCTCATGGTTGATAATTCTCATCGCCACGAGCGCAGTGCACTTGTACATCGCAAGGTTTTTAGCTGGTATACAACTGGGAGCTATAGCTACCGTACATTCTATCTACATTGGTGAAATATCTCTCCCCGAAGTTAGAGGGTCGTTATCCGTTTTGAACCATTTCATGGTGTCTGCCGGTGCTCTTATAATGTTCGTTGTCGGTCCATTTGTTTACTACTACGATTTGGCGTTGATTTCACTCGTGTTTCCACTTTTGTTTAGTCTAACGTTTGCAGCGATGCCAGAGTCTCCTTATTACTACATGATGAAAGAACAACCTGAGTTGGCAAGAAAATCACTATTTTGGCTTCGAGGTGGCATCAACAATATAGAGCTGGATATGGAACTGAAACAAATCGAGTCCTTTGTTAATTCAGAATTAAAAAATAAAAGTTCTTTCAAAGAAATATTTGTGTCCGAGGCACCGAGGAAAGCTATTATTATAAGCATAGTTTTCACCACAATGAAAATTCTATCAGGCTTTGTAGCAATAAATGTGTTTGCGTCGATGACGTTGCCCCATAGATCGTTCGGGGTCTTGGATCCCAACGAGTGTGTTATTATTCTAGGAGCAGTTAACTTGGTATCGTCACTGCTGATGGTTTGTATAACAGACATGTTCGCTCGCAAGCTACTACTTTACATATCCTGTACAGGGTGCGGCCTTACAATGTTGGTAGTCTCAATTTGGTATTTCCTAGACGAAAAAACTTCGGTAAATACAAGGAGTACAAACTATTTACCATTCACTATGTTTCTTGTTCACGTTGTTCTTTACAACATAGGGTGTGGAAACTATCCGGGGTGTATTAAAAGTGAACTCTTCCCTTCTCACGTTAAAACTAAATCTTGTGCCCTAACAAACGTTATATTTGGGATAGTAAGTTTTGTAGTTATTAGGTTCTACTTGGTTGTTGCTGACCGGGAAGGTTTATATATTAATTTTATTGTTTTCGCAATAAGTTGCTTCCTTACTGTGATATTCACCGTATATTATGTACCAGAAACCAAAGGAAAGACATTACAAGAAATACCAGTGGCGTAACAGCCGCCCCCGCAGACCCCGCGGTGCGGGGGGGCCCGCGAGGTTTAGGGGCCCGTGAGGTTAAGATACCCTTTTCTCATAAAACCGTCCGTAAAACCGATCTTTTGTTCACGAATGTTTTTCTCTCCTGACAAATTATAAATAAAAAACGATGTGTTGGTAGATACTTTTATTCTGCCAAATCTACTAAAGTTTTATCTTTTAATTAACAATATTGTTAACGAAACGCCAACGCTCACTACGATCACCCGACGATGTGTATTGTCAGTGTGGTTGTGTAGCTTCATGCTAGCGCTAGGAGCTGTGTGCCGGCCTGCCGCCGCGCCGTGGCGACACACACTCGGAGCCAGCCCCTCGGCCCTCCCCCCTCCCCCACTAACCGCTCACGTGTACTCAGCTGACCGTAGATCACCTGATTTTGGAGATCCATTCCATGCGGATTGCGAGTGACTCGTCAGTAGTGCATGTCGCGAGAGTTTCTCAATCAGGTGTCATGTCATTAAATTGGGCTAATTTAGTGAAGCACTAACATTTAACAGTCGGGACCACGAAAGTTTGCAGTTGGCGCCAGCCAATCACAAGACTAGTGCGACGTTGCCATATCGCCCTTTGACGACACTAATTAAAATACTAAACAATATTTTAAAAACAGCTGGTATTATTCGATTTGGCAACACCGCACTGCCCTCATTGGCTCATTTGAAGTCAAATGGTAAATATGCTACTCCCTCAACTGCAAACTTTCGTGGTCCCGACTCAAATTATAGTTGGAAGCTTGGTTGAGTTTAGTAATGAATGTGAATGGTGGAGTAATGGAGTAGCCCATATATATTAATCACGGACATAACTCCCAAGTTTATTATCACTGTGACAGTGACAAAATATAAAATATGTTTCAAGGACGACTCTGGTCGTGTGGTTGAAGAATAGGTAAATACTTGATATTGCTAGAGACCATCCTCTGCCAGTCTGATCGTGTAGGCCGTATGCCTGCCGTCACCTACGTCATGTGATAGTTGTGGTGTGGTGATGGTTGTGGTATATAGTGCTGTGGTGGGGAATCGGGAATGGGAGGGGTAGTAGGGGGCCCACACAGACATATTTGCGGGGGGGCCCGGGGAAATACTGTTACGCCACTGAGAAATACAAAACATTTTAGGTGGCAAGGAGGACTAAAGAACATTTTATGTGAATGTTAAGATATTTTGATAAGACAAAGTTATATTTATTACAGGATTAAACTTTCTATTGTGTTGTTACCTCTTTAAGCTGACAGTGATTTCATTAGAAAGTCACTATCAGTCTACTATAATGAATGTTTAGGTAGCCTTAACTTTAAAAAAAGGTTTCCCAAGCTTAGACTGATAAAGAACATTTAAAAAAATGTTAAGTTAGCAGCATTCAAGTTGGAAAGTAATGAGGTTCTGTTATTGAAAGGAACTGGGGATTTGAAACTACTAAATGTGCCAGAATAAATATATCACAGCTTCTTCAGTAATTCCATTGCTGTTTACACTTGGTGGTACAGATTTCATAACATGTTTTTGTTTAAAAAAAAGGTTCTGGATATAAAGATACTTAATATGAATTTTTTATCTTTCAGTTCGTTTAAAAAATAAAGCCTTACTTCAGACAGTTTATTAATACAGTAATTGTTTGATTTTTTACAAATTTTATAAGGATTTTTTAAATAAAAAAATTGAAAGTGCCTTATGCAGTTTTATTTCCTTTTTTTTTTTTTTTTTTTTTTGGAGATTGTCTGTTAAAAATATCAAAGACAAGACTTAAAGACAATTAATAAACTTGATATGTATTTGTCAAAATGGACAATGACAATATTTACAATATTATAAATAAAGAATAAAACATAGTTATTTCAATTAATCATAAAGAAAAAATGCAGGCATAAATTATTACAATGACATTCAAAAGGACAAAAGAATTGTGCAGAGCTATAGATTTTTTAACATTATAAAATTTAGTAACATAGCCTGAAGTTTGAAAAAACTTGTTATTTTATAATGTATATTTAACATTGACCGAATTTCAGCTTCTATCTAAAAACACAACTGTAAATTATGTTTACTTGATTTTAGAGTAAGAAGTGTAGAGTAAGAAGGGAAAAAATATAAAAATGGTTTACAAAGACAAATTTGCCTTGTCTTCTTTCAGTCCATGAAATACTTTAAATGCCAAAGCAATTATACATTCCTCATTGTAATAGTTTTTAAAAAGTACTCGCTATCACAGATAAAAAGTAATTATCACACTCAATATTTTACGTAATTGTTATAGAGTGATACGTCATGTTGAGTCCCCACAGTTCACATAAAAAGTTGAACATTGATTTACCATAGTAGAAAAATATCTGTTGCTTGCATGATAAGTATGCAAAACATTTTACATTAATGACTGATTAAACAACTCATATCTGGAGCTAATGATAAGATTACAGAAATATTTTCTTTACAGAATGTATCTCGTAAAGTATTTTACACAAACAAAACTGGATTGGTGGTGAGTATCCATTGACTTTTAAGCTATAACTTGCAAAATATAACAAATTTCATAGGTACAATGTCACCAAATGATATAGTAATAGTTTATATTTATTGTCTTGTACTACCAACAAGCAATGTGGACCATCCCTCACAAAATCTGCTTATTACGAGAATTTATAGATGATTTAATGAATTTTAAACATCCTGGTTTAGTGGAAGTTTTTTTGTGCCTCTAAACACAGATTTTAATTGGTAATTTTTTGTATAATTCTCAGTTCTGTGTGTTAATAGATTCAAAATAAATTTGAAATAAAGGTTATTTAACCTACTAAATGTATGTCTTTTAATCAATTTATTTGTGTTTTGCTTTTACCTTCATCTTCAGATCAAATATTTAAAACAAATCCAAGTAGAATATTTTTTTTTACTTTTTTCAACTAACTTCAACTAATTTGCAAACATCACAATAAATTGCAAATCCCTGTGAATTCGCACATAAATATGTCAAATGCAAACCTTTATTTCACGTTTAAATGAACATATAATACTGTAAGGCCTGAACTCCATTTTGTTGATATATACTTAATATAATAAATGTTAGGATAATTTTAAATATCTAAATGAGTTTTAAATAGTCAAAAGTAACGTTTTTTTGTTGTTGTTGTTGTTTTTTTTTTGCCTGGACTTTTTCATATTATTGAGTTTGAAAAGTTTTACATGTATGCTGACATTGGTATTTTGAGGCTGCTGTTTGATGTACTCTGGATGGTTATCCTAATATTTTGAGCCTTCTGCCTGATACATTTTGTTAAGCAAATATTTTGATGATGACACATTAAGTAAATATCTATATATTTAATACGCTAGGCATATTTTTGTCATAATTGTTTTGGAGCGGTGGTGCTACCGATCACCATGTCTAAGGTGTCGTTAGAAAGGTCTTAGCATGTAGTTTTGCCATCAAGCAAAAAAACTTTGGAATTCCACCAGGGCTCTGCCCCAGTGGCCTTCAAAATTCCCATGTTATTCTTAGGGAGAAAATTTTTGTTTACATTTGAACAGATGAATACTTTGAAATTGACACTAATATTTGAAATAGCTGGTTATATTAAAATTGGAGACATGTGCTATAAGGATTTATTAGATTAGTTGAAAAGATTGATGTTTCACTGTTTTAAACCAGTTTTTATCTGCACAAAATCAAAACATAACCAAAGAAACGTTCGACATCTCTGTTATAAATCTTACTAATATTATAAATATGAAAGTTTGTGTGTTTGAAGTTCAATCACGCATAAACCACAGGACGGATTGGGCTGAAATTTGCCATGATGATAGCTTACATTCCCGATTAACATATAGGCATATTCTTATCTCAAAAATCCTTTCGGGCTCCGCCCCAGTGGCTCTGTAGTTCCCCATGTTAACCTTATGATGTTAACATATTTAAAGGGAATTAAAGATTTTAGTCAGCTGTTTCAACTAAAAAAGTTGGTTCTATGATATGCAAAAGCATTAAAAAGTTATAAGATTTACCAACAGGGTGCAGCACTATATTTTTTTTTTTGCATTTATGAAAACAGCTAATTTGAACTAAACAGCAACAAAAAACTGTGATTCGCAATGAGAACTGTCAAAGTAGGATTGTTTACAGTTATGTTTATGTTTTTCATGAATAATTTGTGATATTTTGCGAATTGTTGATAATTTAATTTTCTCTATTGTTTAGGTGAAGTGGTAGAACATTATGGCTATGGTAGATGTGTACCGGTAATACTATAGAATACTGTAAATTTAAAAAAGCAAATTTTATCAAACTGTGTCCTCCCTTATTGCAAACGCAAAGCTTGAGTATAACTGCAATAAGCATTTTATACTTACACTCCAACCCCGTATGAAGGACGGGTACTCTGCTAGTAATTGATAATTGATAATTGGTCCAATATTGTACTGGAAAGTAACAAAACATTGCTGTAAAGTAAGTAAACAATACTGTAAAGTGAATCTTTTCAATTCTAAAAACTGAATTGAAAAGGATAGTTTAAAAACTGTCGTAGGTAAACGCCTTTTTTTATATCTTTATCATTTTATTTCTAAAACGAGTTCAAAAGTCATAAAAGATTGAATGCCACTCCTATATTTGCGTAGATGTTCATCTGTTCACTTTTAAATAAAATAACCCATCCAGAAATAGAAATTATTTCTTTGCTGGTCACATTTTGTCCATACATCACACAAAATTTCCAATAAATATCTTGTTTGTCGTTACAAATCTATCACAACTCATAACTGATTTTCTATTGTACCGCACAGTTAAAGGCGATGTAAAGTAAAACTAAGCTCTTGCTCGACCTTTACACTACCATATGAACATTGACTAACCAACCTGCCCCACTGTATAACTTGCTGCCTCTACTACTTCCCAAGTGACCAAACGGAGGTTAACTTACTTTCCAAACAGGCCTAGTATATCGATCAAATAGTGTTGAACAAAATCTTTTATTTTGTAGAGACCTAACGACCTGAATGTTGCAGTAACAATGCCTCAACAAAAGATTCCGCCAGAGGTGAATGTGATCTCGAGGACAGAGTGGGGGGCTCTTCCCCCCCGGGGGGATGTTGAGCCTGTCACACACCCCCTGGAGAAAGTATTCATCACTATGGATACAGCAAGTCACCCGTGCTACGACAAAGAGACCTGCCTCGGCATCGTGGCCGATCTACAGAAAAGACACATGACAAACGACGGAGCGCCAGACATAAGATACAAGTAAGCTGTGGAGATCTGTCAAAGAGTTATAGTGAATCGTATTCTTTATAAGCATCGCCGGATTAGTTGAACTCTACAACTCCGATAACTTGGATTTGAGAGCTAGATTTGGCTGTTGTTGGCATTTTATGGAAAAACCACAACAATAAAAGGGAAAACGGTTAGCTCCTAAAATGTTTTTGGATATGCCAGGTATCCAACCTGTTGGCTCTTGCACCTTTAAGATGGAGACGTTTACTTCTAGGATTTGTAACTACAAAAACCATATAATCTTGGGTTTTTTATTAGATTATAAACAATTAATACAAGCTAAATTGTCACAGATATTTTTAATTTTCATGATAGGTAATTGTTACGCATAATAAATACATCATACTTTTACTGATATTTTTTTTTAATAAAAGAACAAAAACCAGTTGGCCACGGATTTTTAAATTTTTATGATTGGTAATTGGTACCAAAAACAACCCGGTATTTTTTTTCTCAGCTAGTTAAAAGCTCATTGGAAAAAAATCCCTTCTTTGGTGGAAAAGGTTTGTGAAACAATAAAACAAATTTACATTTTGAAATCATGATGAACTTCATTATTTCTTAAAAAAAAATCAAAACAATGTTCTAATTCCATAAATATAAACAATTTTCTGCGGAAAGACTTGGAAAGCTATAGAACTAATGAAAAATGTGATTTTAGTATTAACAAGAGTAAGCCTATTTTGGTAGAGACTGATAGAAAGAAAGAGAACAATAGAAAGTTTTAATACTTAAATCAGGTACTTTAAGCATTGACTATTGGATACTAATATCAATAAATAACTTCTTAATCAGCATCGTGCATGTTATTAAATTACAGTACCTGAAAGTACAAAAAATACATCTAATAACGCTTGTAATAATATATACTCTTATACTGTTGTCCTATTAGGTCCGATGATGATTGGAGTGTCCAATCAAAATCGATCACCACTTACCATCTTTTATATATATTTACCGTCTTTTGAGTCAACACTGTCAACACTGTCAACAGTATAAGTGTTAATATACAAGTATGTAATTAGACATATTTTTGTACCTTCAATTGATATGAATAGTCAAAGCTGTAACCAACTACGAGATAAGAGATTTGAGTGATCACTACAAATACAAAATACATTACTGTGCCATATTAAATCCAGACAAGATTGAAGCATTTTGAAGAAAAAAATTAATTTGCTTTTAATCTTGAACCCAGTAATTTCATCTAGGAACACAGTAAGATTAGGGCTAAGCCTCAACATCCAAATTGAAAGCCAACATTAGAATCCAAACTGTTTGATATACAGGGTGTCCCAGACCAGAGTTTCTCAAAGTGTGGTCCACGGACACCTGGGGGTCCACTAGCAGTTTTTTGGAGGTCCGCAAAAAACATTATAATAAAATTTTTTTTTATCACTAACACCAAATTTAAATTTCTGAAAATAACAGTTTTGGTTTGTTTGTTGATTATTTTTTTAGCCTATTCCTTATTATAAACAAGTTATCTTTTGAAATGTTAAAATAAAAATCAAGGGGGCATCGGGGGGGGGGGGGAAGCTAGTAGTGGGAGGTAATTGTAGGGGTCCGCATTACATACATAATTAAATACGGGGGTCCTTGAGTAGATGAATATACTATACACTAATTAATTTTGCTACAGCTCTTTAAGCAATAAAAATACCAAAAAAACATTAAATGCAAAAATTGTAGCTAATTTTAAGGGCTACAATGTGGTTTGTAATGAAACCCATGTTGCCATTTGAAGTTTTGAGTTAACAGCTTTTGACAATGGGTAACATGGAAAAGGGTTGAAACCACAGTTTTTTTAAAGCTCATTTAGCAATTAAAATGATATCAAAATATGAACCCCCTATGAAATTCCATCTCTTTGCAGTGCGAAAAGTAGTTCAAAGGTATATTTTTGTACATTTTTAAAAATAGATTTAAAAATAATTTAGCTGAATTCCTTGGGGTCAAAATAGGAGGTTCCAGTTACAATTAGGTTTCTATTTGCTTTCATATTGGAGCTATAGAAGCCGGCTGGGTGATCTGGGACACCCTAGACCTCGTAATGTATGGTAAGAAGTTACATGATTTTGAGCATTGTGTTTGGGGAAAAGTAGAGGTATATTGAAACATTTGTAGTTTTTTTTTTTATATAATGAAATATTTCACAATCTGCAAATATTTCAGAGTTTAGCACAAAATATGTAATTTAAGAAAATAATTTTCAATTTCAATCAAGAATGGTCCTCTTCATAATCTTGCTAAAGTGAACGGTAAGAGTTAGAAAAGGTTAAAATGTACATTTTACTGTAAAAATTACAGTTTAAAAGTAATTGCAACTTTTGTGATTTATTTTATTTATTTTTTTTTATGAAGTTAAAAAATCTCATAAATTATCGAAGTTACTCACTGCTTACCTATGTGCCATAATAATAATAATGAGGATTATTGAAAAGCTAATTGGAGAAAGTAGGTCCATGTGTCAGATTGCTTATACAGTAACGTTTATTCCAAACATTTTTAAATATGGAATTTTATATTACAGGTTAATGTTTAAGTGCTTCGGGATAAGATGTCTAGTCCACACCTTATTCAAAGCAAATTTGAAGGATTTATCTGTCAACATGATATGTTAGTTTTCTAGTTGGAGGTGACGGGAACGTTTACGAAGGCAGGGGTTGGCACCAGAAACCTCAATTGGCCAAAGAGGAGAAATACTTCGAGGATAAGAGCCTTGACATTGCCTACATCGGCACTTATGAAGGTAAATATCAATTTAGTCTTTGGCGCAAACGACTCATTTTTAATCCTTTTACTTTAGAGTTGAAATGAAATTAAGAATACTTAAGAGCTCTGACCAAAGCTAGTACTCAAAGGCCTCTCTACTACTCTAAACACAATTCACTTTACAAACAAAAATATAAATATCAATATGCACTTAAGCCACCAACAAAATATGGTTCTGTCTAATGAACCAGCTGTTCTCAGTCAGTAGCTATCATTATGGTTTATTTAACATTCACCTTCGCCTCAAAATAAGCACTATGGTATGTTGGTGTCGGTTGAATATAATCTAAACTAAAATAGTTACAGCATTGACATGAAAGTTGAAATGTCTACTTCACAATATTATGTCCATAACCAAATTTTCTACAGTCAGAAGCAACAGAGGTTGTCAAAGATCCTTCCGCAAGCAATATTAAATTTGACTTTCTGTTGTAGTATTGCAGTAAGATTTACTTGCGTTGCTTTGAATGTAGTTGAATGTAGTTGAAGTTTTGAATGTATCATTATTGCTGTTTCAATTTCAATCAGGATTGATTCTGTACCCAAATGCAATTTGTCATTTGGCCATCAAACTAAAGGCAAATATTGGTAACAAGGCCAGGACTCAAGGAACTCAAAATGACAGAGCAAGCCGCCTTTTTAAAGGTTTAACTTACTGTAGCTCCCAAACGAGTTGATTGTGTTAAAAAACATAAGGGAAAAAGTCCTTAATTTCAACAGTAAATTTGGTCTTAAAACAACCATAAACTAGAGGGTGTTTCATTAAAGCAATATTTAAGTTAACTGTCATCTTGGAAAATGAAAATGGTAGCCTCTTATATAAAATGGAATTAATATTTATTTTTTTTTTTTAAGACAAATTGGTTAAGTTCCCAATTTAAAGAGTTTCTAAATTTAATAGTTACTTAGATATCAATGTTGGCACAGTTAAGTTCTTAGCTGTGAATACTGTCTGAAACGACTCCTTACAAAAAATGTAAAAATACTAATTGAGTATGAAAACGCTAAGAGACAAATAAATCATCATTAGGTTTTTTTTTAACCAGTTTAAAACCATTTCCTTGATGTATTGTGAAGTATTGAAGCAATTAAATATTGCTAAAAATGGAGTATATAGCGAGACCATCATTCCAATGTTTAACAGATAGAATATGAGGAATGTTTATAGATTAAGGTCTCCTCCATTGAGTTCCCATCGTAACCAAAAAATCTGACTAGAAAAGTAAAGGATGAAGTAAAGAACCCGGAACTGGACAGAAGATGTATTGAGCCGTACCTTATTTTACAGACAGTTCTCATGATATTTTTTTATGAATATTGGAAAAGTATCTGCAATAATTGTTGAATAACAAACTCATAATGAACTTGAAACAGATAAAATAATACATATTTATCGTACAAGGAACAGGAATCTCTGATTGGTTTAAATTTTGCTTTCCTGTTCCAGTTGTTGACTGCCCAATGTCATATTACGAAAAATTTGCCGATCTTATTCTGGTCGCAGTAACTAAGAAGTATCTAGCTCTTTCCAAGCTATTCATATTAGACTATTTGGACTTAGCGACCACTAAAAGAGTACAAAAGGAGTTTGAGGCAAAACAGAAAAAAATGAAAGAGCTGCATGCTAGCAAAATCAAGGTGTCTTCGTATCCTAGCAAAGTCAAAAAGAAGAAACCTAAAAAACGTTAAGAGCTTAAAATTCGTTATTTCCCAATAGACATTACCTTATAGATTTTTTAAAACTTTGCACCTTGTAGAAATAAATAGATTTGAGCTACTTTATGTTCCTTGATTATTACTTCCTTAAATTATTCCAGATAAGAAATTATGCAACACAATTTTTAATTTTAATTTTTGTGACAAATTGGTTTTCTTACCAATTCTTCCCTCTAGTAATTCTACTTACTCGCTTTACTTAAACTTTTTAATTTAATTTTTTTTTTAGGTTTAGCACAATAACTATGAATGAGCAAAATATCTTTCTATATCTTACAAACACAAAAATAGATTTGTAAACACACAAAAAGGATAAAGTAGCACAAAGCAGGATTAAACGCAACTCACACTAATAAACTTGTTCTGTCAACTTTCACCCGTCCAGTGTTTATTTTAGAAGGTTCATTCTCATCACTGCAACTAATGGGACTTAAACCTGGTTGCAAACTCCCTGGACGAAATGACCACTGTTACGATACTGGTGAAGAAAACATTCTACAGTAGGAGTCTAAAACTATTTTCATCCAAAGGCTACATTTTAAATTCTTTGAGAAAAAGCAGGGCCAGTAGTATTTTAGCGCAAAGTTTACCACCCCCACATAAACCGACAAAGTCATTTTTAACTAAGGATTCAGTAGTGGTTTAGGGATTTTCCTATTTATTTGTTGGTTGCTATATTATTTCCTCATAGCTTTTTGGCTGATCCATTATATTTGTAGTTCTGATCATTAGGTTTGGAAGCAGTTGACTAATTACAAAGCTCTATGTTTAGATAACTCGTTTAATGCATGTTAACAACTAATTTACACTTATTGAGAAAAAACAGTGGCAAGTAAGAGATAAGTACGATAGGCTACTCATATTTAAACAGAATGTCCAGCCAGCCTGGAATCCAGAAATCGCAAGACAACTTTTATGAGTGTAAAAAGTTGGTAAATTGGCTCAATTTCGTTATTGATTGGAAATTCTGAGAGAATAGCCAATAACCAATAATCGAACCTCCATTTGTTGATGCCGTTCCATTAATTCTCTTTTTATGTTGTGAGGAAATTGAGATCAGAGCCGACCAGAGTATGGCCATGAACGCAAGAGATGCTCAGGGAGGTTTCCGCGATCGCGCGCACTATCACAGTATTGCTCAGACCGCATGAGATGGGTGTTACCACAATCGTAAGGAGACTATCATTGGTGTACACTATAAAATAGGAAACAAAATAATATATTTACAGTTAGGCTTGGAGACCCCTGCCCAGGTGACAGTTTAGTTTTTTGCTTCTGAAACCGCCGTAATGTTTTTTAATGTTTCAGAGGATGAGGAACACTTGCCAGTGTGGGAGTTAGCTGATGTTGTGTATGCTCTAATGAGAGACGGGGAAAGAATGAACTATTTAATATTTAACGAAAAACACTTTACCATACAATAGTCTAGCCATTGAAAATTAAATACCTCTATGAAATATTGTCACTTATTTCCCTTTCAAAAGTTTCAGTGTTCCTAAACTAAATTTGTTAGAAGCGCAGGGGTTTTTTTTTAATGGTTATATATTTTACTCATGTAATTTAGCGCATTTATACGTTTTTACGTGTTTCAGAAAGCATGTATCCACTTAAGATGTACGGGACTGTAATTCGGTTAGTTCAGGAAGGTGAACGAATGAAATTGCTCTCTTTTAAAGATGTTAAATGGACTTAGAGTACCCAATTAAACTAGATCCAAGTCATTTCCTCATATGTTATTTTTAACACCCTCTTCTCTAATAATTAGCAATACAGTGTTTATAATTTCAAAAAATATCCCTTGGATTTATAGTGGGAAAATATTTTGACACTACAAATGGCAAACTTCATTAAACGTAAAATAGATGTTTTTGTAGTTAAACTGAATAGCTTACCCTATATAAATGAAAATCACTCAAAAGCCGTGGTTAGACTGGAATCTGTAACGATTAAAACTATCTTTTTCAAATTATATTCCATTAATCTCAAATATATTTTCCACAAAATTGCAAGATTTCTGATCAAATTGCGTATGTGTTTCAGTTCACGACCTTCAGATGTACGGAAGGCTTTGTGATTTTCTATTATATGGCGCTGAAAAAAGGGAATTAAAAGTGGGCTATTTTGATACGTTAGACAAGTTTGACTTGAAAGCATTAAAAGAAGAAGGAAAAGTCGACAAGGAAAAGTCAAATGATGTAGACGACAAAGTAAAATCGTTTAGTTAAACACAGAAAATAGGTTATTAATTGAAAAGTGTCTTTTGTACAAATAAAATAGTCGTTGAGCTACGAGCTTGAACAAGGTATCAAAGAGAAGAAGAGGAGGGTCAAAGTGTGTAATTAAAGGGTTTAATTAAAACAAAATTTTGTTGTTGTTTCCCCAATGTTTTTATATTTACGTTTATGAGTGGTTTTTAATTGAATTGGGATTTATATTCACAACATAAGGCATTCTTTTGTTTGACTATTTTAAGTGACTTACTCAATGCTGAACTATAAAAAATGAATACAGTGCAATCTTAAATCTTAAGCCCCCCATACACGGGCAAACATGTTCGCGAGCATGTTTGTGACGGTGTTGGCGGCGAACATGCTCGCCCGTGTGTGGGGTCTGTGAGCCTTCGTACCGGCGAGCATGTTGGGCTCGGCGCTTGGCTCATAGGACTGTCACAGCACGAGAGAAGTGAGTACTGTGCGGTGGCAAGCAAATTCGCGAGCATGCTCGACCATCTGTTCGAAACGCCGAGCATGTTTGCGAGCGTGTCCGCCAACAGGCTTGCGAACATGCTCGCCCGTGTATAGGGGGCTTTATATTATTTGGGTTTTGGGATCACAAAAACTTTGACTCTCCAGTGGATTATCCCCAGGGCAAGGTTTGTTTTCTTTGAACCTCTTTTGCTGCTCAGTGAAAGTATGGCTTATTAATACTGTGTAATAAGTATTGAAAGGTTTTATGTGGTGGTGTAAGAGTTTATATACCTATAGTATGCTAGAGTATGATGGTAAGCCATTAGGTCTCATCAATAGCTAAGCAGTCCAAGGCGGCCAAGATACAAAGTAGATTGAAGGAGTCATGAAACTATAGTTCATGGTAGAACTTGTTAGGAAGAACCCCCAAAAATGAACATTGGGTGGCTTGAAATACATTACACAAATTCTTTGAAGTTGAAAATGGCATCAGTCATTCCCTAGTATTTACATTGTATGGATCCGTCAAAAAACATGTTTTAGCCTTTACGGTTATGGATTTTTTTGACAATACCATTGAGGAAAAATATATAACAACAGCTAACAATGGGCATAAAGTAAATGGTCTGAGAAGCCCCATTGTTATACAGTTTGCCTTTAATTACGAGGGTTGCTGATTTGATTCCAAGCGTTTCTGGACTTAGATGCCAGGTTTTTGGCCATTGAGTTATCAATTAGTGATAATATCTAACAACAGGTCGACAATAGTAGTAAGAAGGTTCAGGGTTTGGACCGTTCCCTTGCAAAAACCTTCTAACATTCCTATGGCTTAGAAACCGACTAATAAAAAAATAATTTATTAAAGCTCAATGAAATAATACTACTACAACACCTAACAGAACTTGATGAGTCGTTTAATATGAGGAATGAAATATTGTGGTTAATGAATGGTATAAATGCTTTCCTACAAACTACTTCTACCTAATTATATAACCACTATTACTTGATTAAAGTCTGTTAGGTTAGTTAGTTATCGAGTTTGTGTCGCAAAATTTTGGCACATATGACACGTACCTTTGTTCACCTTTCGAACCCCAACGACTGATATACCACTCAAGACTAACAGAACTTCCTTAAACTCAACAAAAACAGCTGAAACTACCTTCCTGACATGTGCTGCAACCTGGGGGTCAATTTATAACTATTACTTTGTCTTTTGGCTAATTAGTGCTGTTAGTGTGGTTGACTGTGAAGTCTGATCAATCTCTCAGGCTAGGAGACAGTACAGTGTATATTAAACAGTGTTTAGTGGATTGCCTCTGTCAGGTCTAGTATTTCACCTCCTGAGACGTTCACTTATATGCAGCCGGCAGAGCTTGGTGAAAGAACCCCCATGATATAATGCGTGGACGACCCCGGTGGAAGTTGACAGAGTGAGCAAGTTGTACCCCCAAAACAAGCATTTTGCTACTTTTCACTCATCCTTATTGTGTATAGGCCTACCAAAACCTGCTTTCAACTCCAGTTTTGATTTTAGTGTTCATGAGATTTAGAAAAACCATAGTAAAAGTAGATATAAATAAACTACTGAATAATCATTGGAGTTCAAATGGTTAAATGAGAATGTACTTATAGAAACAAGCTGTTGATTTAAACTTAAGTTAATATTCTTAACATTTTATAAAAGCTAGGTGGACAGAGTATGGCACAAGTCAAATTTAATAGGTGTATTTAAGTGTCATTCTTCTTTTTATAAGATCACCAACTTTTTATAATCACCAACTTTCATCCACGCAGTTCTTGTATTTTCAAAATTTAAAAATTCAGACATTAACAGGGTTGTCCCAACCTAGAATTATATAATTAGCCTAGTTCAGTTAAAAATTCAGTTAAAATTCAATTAAAAATTAGCTACCAGAAACAATATATTTTAACCACAGGTATGAAACCCAAAACAAAAATATATTTAGATCCCCCAGACACCGTTTTACTCTTTATGAAAAATCTCCATTGTATGCTGGGTCTGAGATTGTACAATGTTTAAAAAAACAAGGAGTTAATGAGTGCTGTACTTGGGTTTGTTTCAACAGTAAAGGAAAGGACTAGTAAAGGAAGCCAAGTGTGATTTTTTGTAAAGTATTATAAGTAGGTATAAAATCATTATTACCAAGTATGTTCAAAATATATTAACACAAGTAAAACTACAACAATTTACTTATTCTCCATAAGCATAACATAAGAGTTTTAAATAAACAGTTTTTTTAAAATATTTTCTCCGTAACTAAGCACACAACAAAGCTTCATATAAAATAGGTACTTAATATTATTTTTTTAAACTCTACAACGTAGTTACCGTACAAACGTTATAATTAAAACTTTTCTTTAGGGTAAAAATGGGAAACCCAAATTTTTTACTCCATAAAATCTATACCGGTACTTATAAAAGACAAATACCACTCACTCGCTGATCACTATATCTCAAAAACTACGCCATAAAAACTCAGGAATTGGCATGGAGGTTTCAATCAACCTCAAGGTGAGCAATAAGAAGCGTTTTCAAGAAATTCCATATCAGGGCTCTGCCCCAGTGGCTTTTAAAGTTCCCACGTTGTCCTTATGGAGAAAAGATTTGTTTACATATGAACACATGAATACTTTTGAATCTGCAAGGGAACAGCTGGTTATATTTTATAGCATAAAATTAAAATATAACATTATTGTTGTGGCATAAAAAAGTGTTTCACTGCCTAACATATTTTAAATAGTTAATTAAATAAAAAAATCAAGAAGTGTAAGCTTTACTCAGGTTGAACATTTGACTTTTTTAATTTCAATTTTTGCTAGCGAAGCCACAACGGGTTTGCTAGTATCCCATATAGGTAGGCCTAGCCATGTTCCCGCATAGTATGGCGTAATTAGACCTAAACCTCAACATCCAAAGTGAAAGCTAACTTTTGACTATAACTGCTCTTTAAAGTGTGTATTTTATTTTTATCAATTACCGGTACTCCATTTTGAACATCGGGTTTGGGGGAAGGGGGTTGAAAATTTGGTATTTGTTTTGGCTTTTATGAAATGTCTCAAAATCTATGCGGTTTGGCACAAAATACGCCATTAAAAAAATCTACAATAAATTGCAAAAGATAATGATTCTCTTCATAATTAATTATTGTGAATGAATCATAAATGAATGGTTACAGAGTTACAAAAGGTAAAAGAATTGACATTTTTAACGCTTTTAAAGACCCAGGACAGCTAAATATTTAAAAATATAATAAAGATAGAGCTACAAAACTTGGAACAAAGTTACTGGGACATAAAAATAATTTTGATATGGTCACGGAGGCTAGGTTAGAAGAAAGTCTTTAAGTTGAGCATTGGTTGATATTTGTTCTTTTTTAGCAAAATGCAATGCCGCAAATCCTAGCTCAAACAGACAACTAAGTCAAAAATAGAAGCTGTGTAAATATTTCTCGAATTTATTTGCAAAGCAAGAAGCCTAATAGAAGTCAGAAGAAAATCAAATGTATGCATAGCTTGATATGCATGTCAAATTGAATGTCTTTATTAGCCGAAAACAGTCATACAAATCCAAGTTTCGGTGAACTGAGTCAAAAATGGAAGCCATTCACAGATTTAAAGAAATCTTTTACGGCTAATATTTTTGACTCGGTTGTCTGTTTGAGTTCGGGTTTGCAGCTTTGTATTCAACTAAAAACTAATCATTTCACAAAATTCATTTCAAGTTCTCTTCAACCATAACACAAATTGAACAGGCATTTAAGTTACTTCCTAAAACTATTTGAAGAAACTATTTATTTTAATCTTTTTTCAGAACTACCAAGAGAAATGTATGATAAAGTTTGTGATTTAATATTGTATGGTCACTACACCAAAAAATACTTGAAATGTGATAAAATTGAAATACTTGATAGACAAGATATGATAGATAGAACCTATGAATACTACAAAAAGGCTGAATAAAAAGGTTCGAAAACAGGAAGAGAGGACAAATAGAGTAGGCTAAATAAGGTTTTTTTTATGATGTTCATTTCCCAAAATTTCTTTAAAATCCTGAAAGAGGTTTTGATACACTGTTGTAATACTTTATGTTAATATCCATTATAAAATTAATACGGGAGGTAACTTCTGTATTACGAGGTCATGACAATTTGGCCATCCCTCTCGTTACTTACGTTAGCTAGGGAGTATTACGTGTAGGGAGTACGTACCCTAGTAGTGATTTAATAAATCATATGACTTTTTTGTTTGGAATGTTTTAAATCTTAAATTAAGGAAGCTTCTTGTGTTTGAAATTGTATTGATCATGACTTGCGTCTAAACTGTTTTGGAAATAAATGTAAGAATAAGCAAGTGTGGGAATCAAATACAATGGTTTTACAAAGCGATATTTTCATTCTTACCGTACCTATTTAAGACGATTCTTGGCTCCTTTCTGATTTTTTAGTTCTCAATATTCATTTTGTTAATTCCTATTGTACTTTTTTATTAGTTAGCCTATAGGCCTACAACAACACTTAACTTACAGTTATCACATTCTCCCTTATCCAACAGAAGCATCTGGCAGATTGTGGGTAGGATTCAGGAATGTTTGTTACAACTGTCGTGTCTTTGACAGTTAAGTTATAAATCCTATTCAATCTG